ATCTCTTAGCTAATGAAAAGTGGATCAAATTTGGATCCTGGAATTCAATTTCAATCTCAAGCAAGCATTTCTCCTTTCTACATTATCCTGTTTAAATATGATTTTGGATGGAACTTTTTTAATTGCCTTAAAACTGAATGGAGAGATTGATGAAGACTAACTTCTCAGATTTTCTTATTATATGTCTTGTTAGCATGCTATATCTTCTTTCTGTACTGTAGATCTTTTACTTAGCATCCAAAAAAGGGGAAAGAAGTGTGTATATATGTGTGCATGCATGCACATGCAAGTATATATTCTTTTTTTTTTTTTTTTTTTTGAGTTGGAGTCTCACTCCATCGCCCAGACTGGAGTGCAGTAGCACACTCCCGGCCACTGCAGCCTCGACCTGCTGGGCTCCGGTGATCCTTCCGCCTCAGCCTTCCAAGTAGCTGGAACTACAGGCGAACGCTACCACGCCCTGCTAGCAAGTGTATATTTATGACACAATCAGAAGAATACATTTTTGTTCTTCTCAGAATTATAGCATTGATTCTTACAATTCAAATGTATTGAATTCACATTTGAGAAATAAAGGAGGAGGACATGACAAATGGGCATTACTAGTAAGACAATTCTTCTTGGAAACATACTTCTGCAGTGCCATCGTGCCCATTTCAACATGCAGGAGCATCTGCTCTGGAGTGTCCAACGTAAGCCCTTGTGGAGCCTCAGCTGCCTTCTCCTGTGACTGACACATTCATCTCCTCTCCCCTCCCCGGCTCCCTGATAATGAGCCGTCGTCTCTATTTTTATTCGACCTGAAGCCAATTGCACTGATTCCAAGAGAGAGAAATGGGCCTGGCATGGCTTCTATCCCTTCAAGCTAGCCCGTTGAAATGATTGATCATTCCCAGGGACTATGCGCTGAAGAGTGAGTCCTTTTCATTTGGCCCAATTTACACTGTCTTTCTCATACTTATTCTTGGTTTGGGAATGAGACAGCGCCCCATTATTTAGCCGTGAAAGCAAGGATGTCACTAAAGGTGGCCTCATATTACTGCTTAAAGGCCTATTAGGAATCTCATTTTGCTCTTTGGAGATGTCATTGTGATGCAGAGCGGCTCAGGGTTTCATTACTGGTGAAAGCCCTTTGTTGGGCTTGCCTGTCGTGTCCTAAGATTTGTGGTTCTCCTTTACTGCTGCTATTCCGAAACGGGAATACTGTTACTTTGAGGATTTCATGACATCAGCAGTGCAAAACATACTTAAAGCAGGAAAATTGCAGCTGAACAGAAAGGCGCCTTCAAATCTCCCCTCAGATACAGGTGACAAACTCCACTTCATTTAGCTGTCCTGATGTGGGATTTCCCTATGGAGGTTCAGACAAATGAATATCTGCCAAGTTATTACCAGAAAGTTCACTGAAAAGGGCATTTGCTATGATTATGGCTTCTCCCCCCTAATTTTTTTTTCTTTGAGGCAAATGACTGCATTTTCTTCTATTTACCACTCAACAGCTGTTAGACTCTGGCTTGCATGTTAGTGACCTTGTGAACTGGCCCCTTCTCTCTGAGCCCCTCCCTGTGTTTCCTGGGCAGTTTGCATTCTCAGCAGGAAGTTGTCAGTGACATTGAACACAGTATCTTTATCCCTTTCTGCCTCAGTTTCTTTGACTCTAACCGAAGGATAACAACTTGTTATTCATGTTGTAAGGATTTAACACAATCATGTGTAGAAAGCGCATAACACACTGCTGGATACAACGGCAACCACTCATTCCACAAGTATTTATGGAGTGCTGACTATGTGGCAGGCCTTGTCCTAAATGCTGGGAATACTAAGATGAGCAAACACAGGATCAGTCTCTGCTCTCTTGGAGGTTTTCATTCAAGTAAAAGATTTGGGCATTAATTAGATTATTGCATGGGTATACATCTCCAAATTGGGCCAAGGACTAGGAAGGAAAATTGCAAGGAGTTTCATTGGGCCTTGATCTAGTCAAAGGACATGTTTCAATAACATTTCGACAGAGATCAGAAGGATCAGTTACTCAGAAGGCTGAAGTAGAAGGATCACTTGAGCCCAGGAGTTCAAGGCTATAACATGCTATGATTGTGCCACAGCACTTCAGCCTGAGTGACAGAGCAAGACCCCGTCTCTAAACAGATATAAATAAAAATTAAGAAGGAATAAGAGGGACCCAGTAAAAAGGGGTGTCAGCCTCCACCAGCCCTAAGGTGCATTTGAGCAAATTTGGAAAAGATGTTCCTACCCTGGGGCAGATGCAGCCCCACCCTGAGAAGAAGAGCATGGACTGGGTTTTTGTACCTCCAGCCCATGCACTGGATGCTCTTGAGCAGAGGACAACCTGTATAACCATACAAGGTGCCCCTGGCTGGGAGTTGGGGGAGATTGGAGGCAGAGGAAAGAACCTTTGCAAAGACCCTGAGATGGGAGGGAGCATGGCACATTTGAGGTGCTGCAGATGGCCGGGCGGGGGGGCTGGAGAACAAGGAGCAAGAATGCTGGAAAGGAGTCCAGAAAGCTCTTGGTAAATATCACCTAGTGTTAGCACATTAGAGCATTATTCTCATACATTCAGTGCCAGTACACCAGGGTCTTTCTGGAAGCTGTTGATTTTTTGTTGTTGTTTGTTTGTCTGTTTTGAGTTGGGATCTGACACGTCACCCAGGCTGGAGTACAGTGGTCTGATTATGGCTTACTGCAGCCTTACCTCTTGGGCTCAGGCAGCCCTTCCATCTCTGCCTCCCGAGTAGCTGGGACTACAGATGTACACCACCATGACTGGCTAATTTTTAAAAATTTTTTGTAGAGATGAGATCTCGCTATATTGCTTAGGGTGGTCTCGAGCTCCTGGGCTCAAGTAATCCTCCTGCCTCGGCCTCCCAAAGTGTTGGGATTACAGGTATGAGCCACCATGCCTGGCCAGAAGCGATTGATTTTTAACTAGTGAAGGGAAATTACTTCAGGGATGTGACTTGTGGTGTCACACGACTGAGATTTAGAGAATAGGGACAGTGGATGAGGAGAGACATTTAATGTGGAAAGCAGGGGGCTGAAATACCTCCAGTGGCAGGCCTCCAGCAAAAGATGAAGCCTCCATCACAGCCCAGGAAACTAGATATTAGGCAAGAAGAGGTGAAAACAGAAATGACTAAAAAAACCCAAAAAACAAAAACGCTATCACATTATGCAAATAAAAATGGAAACTGAACATTAGGGAAAGGTTTTTAACAATGCTGTCATTTTGAGGGCGTAATTATCTCTCCAAAGAAATGGAAGAATCTCCTTTACTTGATCTCTTGAAAGGATCTGTCCAGCCGGAAAACCAGAGCCTGGCAACAACACCACCCTTGCTAGAAGTGGTGTTGATAACCCCAGGTTCTTTCTGGCTTTGATTTCTTTGATTCTGGAATAATTCAAAAGAGCATTCATTCATTCAAACAAATATACTGTATCAAAGTTTTTTTTTCTTTTTTCAAGTCAAAGTTTAGAGGGAAATGAAAACCCCAGATCCTGGAGAATCACGCATTGTTGCCAGTTAGCTCTGCATTCTGGACGAGGCTAGGCACTGCAAGTGTTTGCCAAGTTGAGGCATGGTGTGTCAGCACCCCACTGTGAGGGAAGTTTGGGCTTTAGGATTGTGTGGGTCTGGGCTGAGGCTGACTAGGCCACCTACAAGTTGCATGACCTTGAGCAGGCTAGTTAATCTCTCTGTGCAATGAGAGTAACTGTAAGTTCTAGCAGCTATTAGAGAGAGCTTTGAGGCTAGGGCACTTGGGAATCCCTCACTTGCAAAGTTCTTTCTGGGGATCCTGTACTGGGAGCAGCCTCCATGTGATTCACATACTTCCAGAGACTTCTTCTCTGTGCTGTATCTGAACAGTCTTGGCCTTTGCCTTTAAGAGATAGCTGTGCTTTGCTCTTGGGAAACATAAAGAACCAGATTTAAGACAAATTATAAGACCTTGTCAGCAGTTAGTGCCTCTATTAAACTTTTAGGAGAAAGTAAGTGTATGTAGTCTTGATTTTTAAATATATCTATGACTTTTAAAATCCCATCACAATCTGAAAAAGAGCAGACACCCTCAACTGACCCAGCACTTGAGATATGTTACTATTTTTTTTTTTTGAGTCAGAGTCTCACTGTCACTCAGGCTGGAGTGCAGTGGCACGCTGCTCATGGCCACAAAGTGCAGTGGCACACTGCTCATGGCCACCGCAGCCTCGACCTGCTGGACTCAGGCGATCCTTCTATCTCAACCTTCCAAGTAGTTGGAACTACAGGCGTGTGCCACCTTGCCCATCTAATTTTTTTTTTCTTTCTAGAGACGAGGTCTCACCATGTTGTCTAGTCTGGTCTCAAACCCGCAGGCTGAGGCAATCCTCTCACCTCCACCTCCTGTGCTGGAATTACAGCCATGAGCCATTGCGCCCGGCCTTGGAGATTATTTCTTATTAAGATGTATGCAGAACTTAAAAAACATGCTTGAATTTGAACCACATCAGTTTGAATACATACTAACCAGAGATAACTTTCTATATTTTGCTTTTGGGAATGAGATGAACTATAGTACTTAATTTTTCTTCAGTATGAAGTTGGAGAAAGAGCCCTTTATTGTATCTCAGTCATAGTATAGTACATGAAGGTGGCTGCTCCTCTGTCTCTTGCATTATTTCCATACAGTCTTGTGTCAGTAACATGTAAGTTGCACCTCCAGGACTAACACGCAGGTATAGCAATCTGAGTCCTTAAAGGAAAAGCAGGCTAACAGTGATTTAAAGGTTATGCTGGTTAAAAATAAAAATCCATCCCAGAATTCAAAATAAAAAATGCTAACTCAAGCATATACTTTTCTATCTAAAATGACATTGTTGCTTTCTAAGAAGGGGGTTAATGAAGCACTTAATCAGAGAGACCATTATGTTGTCAAAGGCAATGCCAAGGCTGAAGGACAGGATTTTCTTGGGCATGTGACCATTCTATTGTTTTTCAGCCCGAGGCCACCAATCCCGCTGTCCCTCCTGCTGACAGAAGAGGAAGCAGTTGTCTACATTCAGTCTTTCTGGAGAGCCTATATGGTAAGAATCATATGTAATTGTGGCATTTGACTTGATGGAGAATTTTGTGAAGTGTAAGGCCCAGGGGAAACACTTAGATGAATTAGAAACATAGAATATTAGAGCTAATATCCAGACCTCAGAAATAGGATTCTCAGCTGGACGTGGTGACTCACACCTGTAATCCCATCACTCTGGGAGGCAGATACCAGCAGATTGCTCTAGCCCAGGGGTTTGAGACAAGACTGGGCAACATAGCAAACTCATCTCTATAAAAAAATCAAAAAATTAGCCAGGCATGGTGGCATGTGCCTGTAGTCCCAGCTACTTAGGATGCTGAGGTGAAAGAATCGCCTAAGCCCAGGAGATCAAGACTGCCATGAACCATGATCATCGTGATCATGCCACTGCACTCTAGCCTGGGTGACAGAGCGAGACCTAACTCAATAAATCAATAAATAATTAATTTAAATAGGTGTTAAAGTATAATTTAGAAATTTTACCAAAACTTATTTTGTAGTTATCACTAAACATACCCTCCAACCTTTTACTTTTATTATTATTATTATTATTATTATTATTTTGAGTTGGAGTCTCACTCTGTCACCCAGGCT